GTCGCCGCTATGAAGTAGTGGGGGTAATGTCCTTTTGGAATTTTTGGCGCAAGAGGCAAATGTGGCGCTGTCAATGTGCATGATCACATCACACATGTGTCTGTTTTCTGTGGCTGATGATTAGGTTAGAAAATCTGTCACATCGTTGGCATAAAGGAACACGTAAGTGATTTTCTGCTTCTATATACACAAATTAGACTTGCTCGACACGTTTTTGCACGAAATAAACGAATCTGGCAAAAAAAATGTAGCGCTTTACCCCGTGGACTGAGATATATTAATCGTTAAAGTCGATCACTATTCAGGTTAGGAAATCCGTCATATCGATGGCACAGAAGGACATGAGAACATGTAATTGAAATTAGAATGGATTATTTTCTGCTTCAATTACACAAATTCTCTGCTTTAAAATCATATTCTTTGCTTTTATTTGAACAGCAGAGTATATGTTATTTTTACAGCAGAGTATGTTTTGGTTAAATATTTGTCGGTAAAGCATAAAATTTGTTTAATCTACGCCATCGATGCAACAGATTTCCTAATCTGGATATCTATGAACTTTAATTAATAACAATATCAATTAATAACTCGGTTCGCGGGGCAAAGCAACACATTTTTTATGTAACGCAAAACTACGTCGAATGAATCTATTTTATTTTATCAACCTCGAGGAGGTGAGGAGGCTAAATTTAACAATTACCGAATGTTGATGTCTTGCATAAACCTAATTGTTAAGTGCGTCATAATTCGATCTTGTACGTACATTATTATGTAACTTGTAATGTATTTCCAGAATTTTTCAACTGTGATACAAACTCTGAGCTATGCAATGACACATATCGATCCACGTATGAAAGAAGATTCTCTATTATTCTTAGATGTGCTTGTACATAATTATAATAGTGCCCGCGCGCGTTGGCGAAAGATAGTCATAAAATATTACCTGATTTTTGGGGTATGTATGTGTAGGTTACATAAAATGATGAAGGTAGCCCTGTGTGGCACAATTAATAACAATGTTACAATCCAAAAGTACTAATGTAAAATGGAGAATTAAAGTTCTGGAATGTTTAGCTAATTTATTTACCTCTATTTTTTGTTAACTACAGGAAACTTTGTACAGGTACACGATCGATTATGCCTCCGTTTGTCAGGAGCTATTCCATATCCATTCTGAAGTATTAGAAGTAATATTATTATCTAATTATTATTATGTATGAGGCCTTTTTTACGAAATTAATTTTTAGGTATTATTCAAAATTTGGAACTTTGACAAATTCGTTCACGTATGGTTCTGTTTATCTGCAACGAACATTTCCCAAGTCTGCCAGGAGTTATTGCATATTATATGTAATAAAGAAAAGTAATATATTCCATTCCTTCCGCAAATTATCTAATTATTATTATGTATGATTTACGAAATTCATTTTCAGGTATTATTGAAAATGGTTGGACTCGTCGACTTTAGACTCAACTGACTAGAATACTAAAAACTTTATTTTTGAAAGCTGGACCAGTTTGGAATTAGTTATAGACAGAAGATTATTATTTTCATCACACTTAATTAAGTAGGAACGCAGAGATTGAAGTATATCATGAAGATAATAAGAATACAGACTTACTGTTGGTTATATTCATATTACTGTAATTATTAACAAATGGTACAGTTTCTTGTTATTTATACAAGCTAACCTTTTTAAAAAAAGGTAAAAATAGCGTTAAGCGTGCGTGCTTTTCGTAAAAATTATTTGGGCCGGTTTCACCAACGCCAATTGCCTAATTCGCCATGGCTGACTAATAGCGTTTGCTGTTTAGTGGAATTGACCACTTACGGTTGACACTTATGGTTGATTCCGCTTAATCGGGTTGATGAAACCGGTCCTTTGTATACAGGGTGATTCAGAAAAACTCCGTGTCCTTACACAGACGTATTCCTGGCTGAATTCTAAGATGATATTTCCTTTACGAAAATTTTATCAGACGCTTACTTTTTAAGCTATTAAAGGATAAAGTTAGCGAATCACAGATCGGGTATAGAAGGTAAGCAGGGGCCGCGCCCGAGCGTACTCACCGTCTGACGCGAGCAACAAAGATCACTCGTAATCAGCTGTCTAAGGACATAGAGTTATTCTGTCTCACATAATAAACGCCCACACACGCGCTCTCTCTCTCTCTCTCTCTCTCTCTCTCTCTCTCTCTCTCTCTCTCTCTCTCTGTCACAATTACCTCGCAGAAATTCGCTGTCTTCGTACCGTCGTTACTTGAAGGATAAACTTCGTCCGAGTTGAAATTTTGTTTATACTTTGAATCATAGTTGTAGGACGTATGTAAACTCTAAAGATTTATAATTAGGACGTATGTAGACTCTAGATTTATAATAGGTTCTAATCTAATGAATTGAGTTCTTACGTTGAGCCTGTAAATGGCAGTTATTGGAAAATTTATTATTTTTAGGTTCAAAAGAAGTTTTCTGAATAGAAGCTGTAGATTAAGTAATATTAAAAGAGGTCCTATTTGACTGTTTAAGTATCAAAACAAGTTTATAAGGTTTAATTGAAGTTGGAAGAGTTTCAAAGTAAGATTAAATGTTCGACTCGCGTCACGACCGTGAAAAAACAATACGAAGACACTTCACGTTCCCGTGTAACAAATTTCAATATAACAGGGTTTGTTTTTCTTTTAAAAATAATATCTGAATAAAAAAAACTGTAACACTTTCATCACTGATTTACTCGCGCACTTGGTCGATACCCGGTCGATCCCACAAGAATGATTTACAAAGAACGATTTACTAATTATTCTATCGGTTTATTATTATTAATTAGTACCGATTAATTATTTAATTCGAAATCATTAGAAATAAGAAACGCGTTATACACAACACACACACACACACGCACGTACACAACCCGACGTGATACGACGCGAAGCCTGAGCTTGACGAGCTCGACGACAACAATCAAGCAGGTTAGGTTTTACGGACAGAATTAAGAGTAACATAATAGAAATCTGATTTATCGGCCGCTTGTAATTGTTGATAAGTCAGGCTGCGACTAGAGGCTACATTGGTTATAGCATGCTACAAAAGCAGACATTATTGGTTCATTTGACATTACGAATATGTGCATCGAGATTATTTACGCGCTGAATCATAAGGTTCGTTCGCGTCGTAGCATGTTCCAGCATGCTCCAACGTGCACCAGCATGCTGTTACCATAACTCCTATTCTCTTTAACGAGCCCGTTAGAACAAATATTGCGATTCAGCGCGTAAATAATCTCGAAGCACACATTCGTAATGTCGAATAAACCAATAATGCCCACTTGTAGCCAATATCAGATTGTCAATCGTATCAATTATCATAATTACTTTTGGCAATGTTCACTAATATTGAATAATCTAGAATTATTCAACTTTGAAATTAAATTTAATATTAATTCAAAAATTAAATTTTATATTTTTAAGTTTAATTATTTGCGAACTAAAAGAATATTCCTCGAAATGAAATATTTGGTTGCCCTGAAAAGGGCAGATTAATTATTAATTGCAATTTTCGGACATCGAAAAATTCATGCACCGCGTCGCGGATTTGTCGCGGGGGACGGGGTGGGATGGCGCGACCCCCCCGCGAAGGTCGAATAAATACGGAGGACCGATCGATCCGAAAATCAATAATCCCTCGAGCATCGTAGAAATGGCAAAGGATCAAGAAATGGCAGCGTATAGTATCGAAGAATATTATGATATGCTCATGGCACTCGGTGAGTGTCATGGACAACAATACATTGCTGCAAGAAGATACGTCGAGCTGTATCCGAACAGAGCAAGACATCCACATGCCAGCGTTATACTCGAAGCAGCGGAAAGATTGTACGAAACCGGAAGCGTCCTGCCAAAGAAGAAGGACGCCGGTAGGCAGCGTTACGCAAGAAACGTACGAAATACGGAAACAGTTCTTCTTACCATTGAGCAAGAACCGGAAACCAGTATTTGAGACATTGCTCGACAGCACGGATATTCGACCGTACAACGAATTTTGAAAGAAGAAAAATTGCACGCCTACCATTACACTAGCGTGCAACATCTATGAGAAGAAAACTATCCTCGGAGGTAAATGTTTTGCGAGGATTTCCTCAGAAGAGCTGACGAAGATCCAGAATTTCCTTTTCATGTAATATTTAGCGATGAATCGCTGTTTACACGAAAGGAGTTCTGAATTCGCATAATATGCACGTATGGGACGACGAGAATCCGCGAGCGACGCGGCTCAGAAATGTTCAAATTCGTTGGAAATTGAACGTCTGGGCCGGAATTATGGGAAAAAAAATATTGGGCCCAGTAATCCTCCCAGAAAGGCTAAATGGCGCATCATATGTGCAATTTCTAACAGAAAATCTACCTGATTTTCTGGAAGACGTGCCACTCTTGGATCGAAATAAAATAATATTTCAACAAGACGGCGCTGGTCCTCACAAGGCCAGAATTGTTACCGATTTTTTAAACCAGCAATTTCCCGCACGTTGGATGGGCCGGTATGGTCCGATACGCTGGCCAACAAGATCCCCGGACCTCAACCCATTGGATTTTTTCTTGTGGGGATACTGCAAGGAAAAAATTTATAGACAGCTTCCCGAGGACGTGGAAGAACTAAATAACAAGCTTCACGATGCTGTTTGGTCCATCGACAACGACGTTATGGAAAGAGTGCAGGCAAATTTATTGAGACGGATGAGAGCTTGCGTCACAATGGACGGTGAACATTTCGAGCATTTATTATGAAAAAGAAGATCGAGATGTCCAAAAATTGCAATTAATAATTAATCTGCCCTTTTCAGGGCAACCAAATATTTCATTTCGAGAAATATTCTTTTAGTTCGCAAATAATTAAATTTAAAAATATAAAATTTAATTTTTGAATTAATATTAAATTTAATTTCAAAGTTGAATAATTCTAGATTATTCAATATTAGTAAACATTGCCAAAAGTAATTATGATAATTGATACGATTGACAATCTGATATTGGCTGCAAGTGGGCATTATTGGTTCATTCGACATTACGAATGTGTGTTTCGAGATTATTTACGCGCTGAATCGCAATATTTGTTCTAACGGGCTCGTTAAAGAGAATAGGAGTTATGGTAACAGCATGCTGGTGCACGTTGGAGCATGCTGGAACATGCTACGACGCGAACGAACCTTATGATTCAGCGCGTAAATAATCTCGATGCACATATTCGTAATGTCAAATGAACCAATAACGCCTGCTTTTGTAGCATGCTATAACCAATATAGCCTCTAGTCGCAGAGTGACTTATCAACAATTACAAGCGGCCGATAAATCAGATTTCTATTATGTTACTCTTAATTCTGTCCGTAAAACCTAACCTGCTTGATTGTTGTCGTCGAGCTCGTCAAGCTCAGGCTTCGCGTCGTATCACGTCGGGTTGTGTACGTGCGTGTGTGTGTGTGTGTTGTGTATAACGCGTTTCTTATTTCTAATGATTTCGAATTAAATAATTAATCGGTACTAATTAATAATAATAAACCGATAGAATAATTCGTAAATCGTTCTTCGTAAATCATTCTTGTGGGATCGACCGGGTATCGACCAAGTGCGCGAGTAAATCAGTGATGAAAGTGTTACAGTTTTTTTTATTAAGATATTATTTTTGGTAATTATTCAGAATACCTCCCTCACCTCCGATTTCGATAAAATTAGGCTCATTCGACGCGTTTTTGCATGAAACGAAAGAATCTGGCAGAA